GGCCGGCACTTCAGAAGCGCCGCGGCGCCGGCCCCGACCCGGCCTCTGCCAGCGCCTAATTGATGCGCTGCCACCCCCGCCGCCCCCACACTCCGCAGCCCCTTGAGACCTGCCCCGCTCTCCCTCCCAAGGCGAGCGCTTCCAACCTCGCCTATCGTCACTACACAAGAAGGAACTAGTAATATTATTGTCGACACTAAACGTTCAAGAGGACGCGAGTCCAAATTAACCAAGAGAATAAAAAACCGATTTTAACAAAAACATACATCAATTTCATATTTGGTCATATCGTATGATAAGTGTTTGATAAGAGAATTCGCCAAGGGACGGAGATCATAAAATCGAAGAAATAGTTCAAACTTAAAACGTAACATTTTAACATGCGTATTTTTGCATTTTAAGATGTCATTGGTTTCTTTTATTTGCTTAATTTTGTGAGAATTGCACGTAAATGTCATGTAATGTACAATAGTAACTTTTGGCTATATCAAAGAAGGCAAGGTAAAGCTACAACGTACCTCATCTGCATTCTCATTTGCCTCTCTGCAATTACTACATAACATAAGTAGCAGTTGGATGTAGTAAAAAAGTCTCTGTAAATGATTGTAGTAATCTGCAGAGATGAACCAGAGAGGTATGACCTCTCTCCTCTCCACCTCATGTCTGAAATAATTCTCAAGATTTTAATTATTCTTAAAATGTCTCGCAAAATATCATTGCTAAGAGATACTAAAAGATATTTTCACAAAAAATCAATTAATACAAAAAAGTTTAGTTTGTAATGTTATTTCTACTCGCATAGTGTGAAATGCGAAGTTGAAAGTGTTGTTCGCTGGTTTGACTGTAAATAAATTATATTATATTGTGCTACCGTCAGGTGAAAGGATGCGGTTTACTAATGTCAAAGTACACATCATTAAAGGTATAAATAACGGTCGTAATTAATTAAATAAATGTATTTAGATTGAATTATATGTACTGCTTGAACCACGAAGTTAATTATTTGAGCCATAATTCATTCATACTACATGCGATAAATTTATCATTTCGACATCCGATTATTCCAAACAATTTATCCCAAATAGAATGGTGCATTAATGCACGACTAAAAATTTTAAATACCATGAAAACAGAGATAGACACATTTGAATAACATATTCTTACTTTCTCTCCTAGCACTTATTTACGCATTACATATTAATGCTGAAACGACAAGAAGTGTTTTTTTTACCGAGAAAAGCGTATGGTTGTCCCAAATTCCGAAAATGTGGTCAAGTCATGCTCCTATAGGCAATAAATTACTTTCCCTAATACGTTGGGTAATCAGAAGATTTTGTAAGACCATAATACCCGAAAATTGGTTTACGGCAAAAGACTGTCTACTGTTCACCCTTCTGTCTGTGTGTCTGATAATGAATGAAACCGTTTGCAGGCTTTTCATCAAAATTGATATTCCACAATTGTTATAGTGATAAAAATTGTTGAAAGATACAGAATGAAGAAAATAAGAACGTAAATAAACAACAGCAAATATTACCACTCTTACAAATCAACATCTTATAACCACAACAGTCATTCAAAGACATTTGGAAAATGTGTCTTAATGTCCCTGATCACTGTACTATTTGTGATTTCTTATTTCCTAATAATAATTGACCGACGTTCGTATAAATGGAATATTAAGAATCAAAGACCGATTTGAGACTTCTTCGTTAAGTTTTCTGCTAATCATATTGATGTTTCCGACGAAGAATTGGTTAAATGCGACGAATGTGAGGGGAAGAATTCGTTTAATTTGTGAAAAATTCTTTGCATTCACATGAGAAAATGAGTTAAAAACAAGTGTTGCATTTATGAAAATACTAAATAATGAAATTAATAGTAACAACACATATACATTGAAAATACAAAAAATTAAAACTAATGTTTTCAAACTAATGTTTTCAGTTATTTAAAAGAACTTTTTAATGAAGACCAAATTTGAATACATACTGCACAACATTAAATTGAATATAATATATGATGATATATCAAATTAATTTAAAAATAACCAACGAAAATTTGATGTGGTACAATCGCATTCTGCATCTCCATAAAATAATAATATGTAATAGGCTGCACAATTAAAGTGAGCAATAATGAATTTATTTATATCAATAATTTCTGGATGTGTAATACTCGTATACATTAAAACTAGCTGGATGTCGACCGTGTATAAAACGGAAATCGGTCCAACTGGAATTAAAACGACGGTTCTGGTAAATACTATAGAATTACTTTGTATAAAGCGAAATCTTGTATATAGCGGGAAAATACTAGTTCCGCGAGATTCCCCGTTGAGAAAAGTTTTATTGTAGTAACAAACCGCTATCAGAAGATGTGTAATTAATCATTTACGTGACATTTTGCGTCTTCGTTGTCAAATTAGTCGTAACATCAAATTATTTCACTTTTTTACTAATAAATATTGGAATGAACTCGAATAAGATAACACACATTTTCGTTTTTGTTCCTTTGGATATAAACTTCAACCTACACTCTTCTTGTAGATAAGGCTTCTCTTTTTCGGAAGCGCTCTGATAATCTAATATCGCCTTGTAGAAGTTCTGCTTTCATTAAAACGCTGTCGGATGTTGTGGGTGCAAGTCGACTTCAAAGGGGCTCATATGAGAACACCGACCACGTGGAGGGGAGGAGTTCCGCCAAGTTATTTGAAATGCCTCGAATTCCGCCTGCCCGCGAGATTCACTACGTCGAAGGCGCCGGGGCTGCTCTTCTCGTTGAAGGGCGCGCGCCGCCACGCACACATCTCATTTGATCTATCGAAATGCAACAATTTTCTGTGGGCGAAGAGAAACTGATAGTTGCTCAGCCGACAGCCACATTCCTGGAGTCATCTAAAATAAATAATCACTCAAACTATGTCCATTTACAATTAAAAAAGTATTCTCTATTAACAAATTTCACAATTTGATAATTTTTTATAATACATATACGAAAAAAAGATGCAAATTCGGTAATTTTTTTGGCCGTATTCATAGTTCTTTTTAGTCCGGACTAACATTGGCGGGAGATCTGGCGTTAGTCCAGTTCAAACGTTAGTGCGTACCAGGGCATGGTATAACGTCGGGCTAACCTCAATTCAGTTTCATTGTATACTGTGAACTGCGTGCGCGTGTTATTAGTGAGAGATGTGGTGATTTTGATGTGCGTGAAGCTAACGTAGTACGTGATGTGCTAAATGAGACATCTTTTGGAAGGAGAAGGAAACTGTACTGTCAGAGGATTGTGATCATAAATAGCTATGTTTGAGTTTACACAATGAAACTAATACTTATTGACTGTTAATATTTCAAACAAGAAAAAAATAATTTTTCCGCCTCAGGAGTTCAATATTTTCACTTCAATGAGAAAATATTACTTTATTTATTTTTAGATATATATTAAAATATATAACGATTTTTTTATCAGTATATGAAAATCTAAGATAAGTCGAGTAGTTGCCGGTTTTCATACAGTGTTCATTTCCTTTTTAATGGTGTAAACAGAGGGGCCCACGAATATCGAACTGGCGCCCATGGCAAGAACTCTAACTGAGCTTCTTGTCCGAACAGTTTAAATCAGGGTTGTACAATGAAAAGGATAATGAAATACACAAAGGCATAATATTTTACTCTTACGACTATTCTCTTTATCCCGCTTTAAAAAATAATAAAATGCCGTACAACGTAACAAAGGCTCTAAAATCTGATACAATTTAAAATGTGTTTTATTAAAAATAATACGTGTTTCATATCTTTTTGTGTGAAAACAGATTATTTCAGTACTTACAAAATTGTCACTTATTTTTTTAACCCGTTCCACACCGAATGGTGCCTCTTGGCAACAGTGTCAAGAGATCCTAGATAGAGATAGTAACGCATTTTTTTTGCAGCCACATAATCCGCCATTTTATATTCAATTGATACGGAACTTCCAAGCTTATGTACTTGAAGTACCGATCTACCAAAAACTAATATTAATATGCATGAAACATTTTATAATGCCCTCAAATGTTATCATTTCGCGCAAACTTCTGTACGCTGCCTGGCGGGTGTAGTGTAGTCATCTGATACCCACCGAGCAACGTGGCGCATTTGGTTGAAGGTTAAAAAATCAATCAGAAAGCTTCGAGAGGTCCAGCAGGCTGGATCGAAAAGGTTCTCATACCCATGATTAGTGGATTGAGTGTAAAATGTTTAAGATTCCATGCTGAGTGGAATGTGTCAGTAGTTTTGCGTTGATATGAGGAATGTAAGAAATGGAATCCGTTATAA